TTCATAGCAAAAACATCTTAGCATACCTCTCTGAATCTCTCAAGTGAATAAAATATTGCCAGTTTCAGCCAAAAAATTTCGAAAAAATGGTAAGGACTAGGAAGCAAGAGTCTAGTGATTAGATTAGCTGACTAGATTTATTCGGTCCGTGTCGGAAATTCACGAATTTGAGCACTAGAATCACTGATCTGGGTTATTATTTAGGAAGTGACTATGTACACATATGTGTACATAGCTGGTCGGCTATGTACACTTGTGTGTACATAGCCACTTGGCTATGTACACACAAGTGTATATAGCTGACTGACTATATACACATATGTGTATATAGCCCTTTGGCTATGTGCACACGGGTAGATATAATCAACATATTAGTAAATATGAAGTCATATTATAATATTATATGTATTTGTTGATTAATATGCGTGTCCTCTCATTTGCGAACATAAAATCGAAATTAAAAATCTCTTAAATTTAATTTCAGTTGTTTTTTAAATTTAATTTATTCAAATTTAAAATAATCTTAGGTCTTAAATTTTCGGTTTTCAAATTTCAAAAAAATTTACTGGTAACAATTTTAAAACAAATTAAAATTTCAATTATATTTTAAAACTTGTTGAAATTTATAGAGTTCGCTAAAGATTGAGTTTCATTATTTCAATTTAATGAGCTGTAATTTGAAGAGTGCGCTAAAATATAGTAGTGCTTTTTTTATTCTTAATTGACTGCAATTTATTGAGTTCGTCAGACATAATTGTTACTATTAATGTCATCAGCTGTTTTTGATTTTGAACAGATCATATAATTATGATAGTAAAATAGAATCGAACATTAAATGGAGATCACTGATTGGGGTGCAAAAGCATTTATAGACAAAAATCATAAATACAAAAAATGATGTTCTAAAAAAGACGGCTCAGAAATATAGATGTTAATGAGCGTCTTCTCTTGACGAACACAGTTCGATTCGTCCACAACACAGTCAGAACAAATGTCAAATTATCATAACAAATTATGATACAGTCTTCTTAAAAACTCGCTTTGTCTTGAACTGAAAACGTCCTTAGTTCAGCCCAAATCGACGACCCTTGCTCGTGCACTATGAGTATTAGTTTATCCATAACAAAAGAAAAAAATTAACTAGTACATTCTATTATTGACTTCCATTAAAATTCTTCGGAGCTAGATTCAAAGGAAAATTTTAGTTCGACTAAAATCTAACGTCCTGTACAAATTCCAGACAGAGTACTACATTAAAAAAATTTCTTTGATCAAAAACCTATGTCCTCTACAAATTGCAGTAAATATCAAAAACTCTCTGCTACCAGAAACTTGCGTCCTCTACAAATTGCAGTAACTATCGAAGTCTTGAAAAGTTTTTATTATAAAAAAACTAACGACCTCTACAAATTGCATCATGCTTGATAAAAAAAGAAAAATTTTATAAAAATCTTTTAAAACAATTTATTTTCAATATTCGTTCGCAGTAATCCAATTTTTAAAAGTTAAATGTAAATTTTAATCGTTTTACAAAAAGTTCATAAAATTATCAAATTTGAATCCAACGAAATATTAAAAATTTTAATTTACTTAAAATTTATTTTCTTTATGTTCGCAAATGAGAGGTAGCCTTAATATGAATTAATTATCTAAGTTTTTTCATAGTTTTATTAATTCTTTATTACATACGAATAAAGTATAAATCATATAGAAAAAAAAATTAAGTCAAATAAAGATCAATAGTTCAGCAGCATTTCTAGTGCTTTCTCTCTTTGGTTTTAAACGAAACAGTTGAATTTCATTATTTTAAATAGAATACATGATAACCATCTAGTGTTAGCGCTTATCTTCCCTCTTCATTATATCATATTTTTTTGTCGAGACACTTATATAAAGAAAAATTTTATATCTTCTTTTCTTAGTTGATTGGGTTAAAAATAGGAAACTGAAAAATAGAATAAGTCAAATAACTTGACATCTGAGAACATAATCTTTATTAAGATAGATTGATTTATCTTTACTTTAATCTTTTTCTCTATCGAGCTAATTAATAGTTTTTCAAATGAAATGAAATGAATTGATAATTGTTGTAATAAAATTGATCGACTTCATATAACCTCATATATAGTACTAAATAAATCCTCTAATATTATTAAAAAGTCTATCATAATCATTCTCAATGTCTGTTACAGAAAGGTATATGTTGCTATTATAGTTAAATCTAGGTATATTGTTTCGTGCTTATCGTAATTCTTCAACTAGAAAAATAAAGCAAGATAATTATTCTCTCTTTAAAAAGCAGTTTGATAGTTGGGCGCATTTTGAGAAAGAATTTAGAAATTGGTGCATTAATTGTTATCAACCAATGAATATAAAACGTTCTTCAATGAAATATAATGAAAAAATGACGAGAGAATTATTTAACTATGTTCAATACCAAAATGTAATGTATGCATGTCATCATAGATGTCCTGTTCGAAGACATATAAAAGATGAATCAAGACCAAACCAAGAATCGGCTCGATTATATTGTGAATTTATTCTCTTTCTCGTAGAGAAGAGTCTTGTGAGAATAAATTGTTTGTTTCCTTGCTTGTATGTCCGCACTTCAGTGATTGGTCCAAAAGAAGGTGAAGACAAAAAGGATTATTTTCCATAAAGCTTGATCAAACGGTAATCGAGGATGAGAAGTTCGGATCTGAGGTTAGTTCTAACTAATTATTGATTATTAATTAATTAATAATTAATAATTAATATTTTTAATAAAACTTGACCAAAGGATAATCGAGGATGATGAGTTCGAATCTAAGACTAGTTTTAACTGATTATTAATTAATTATTAACTATTCATTAATTATTAATGTTTTTTATAAAACTTGGCCAAAGTTTATCGAAGATGGGGAATCCAAATCTGAGCTCAGTTTTAGCTAACTTATTACTAATTAATTATTAGCTAAATATTAATTGATTATAAATTATTATTATTTTTCGTAAAGCTTCACTGCGGGTTATTGACGGTAAAGAATTCAAATCTGATGTCAGTTTTAATTAATTAATTAATAATTAGTTATTAACTAATTATTAATCATCATTATTTTAAATAAAAATTCACCATAGGTAATCAATGATGAAGAGTCTAAATCTATGATCTGTTTCCATTAATTAGCTATTAATTAATTAATTAATAGTTATTAGTTTTTTGAATAAAGCTTCATCAAAAGTAATCAAGAACGGGTGATTTGATCACGGACTCGATTGGAATGATTCAATGATTTAGAGAGCAGGGATATGAGTGAGCCAGAGATGAATAACATATGTATACTAAATGAATAATTTGCTGATAATAAGAAAATAGTTCTTCTACGAGAAAGAGCTAAGCGAGTCCATAGACGAGCGTTACTTGTTTTAAAACGCTATACGGAATTAAATAAAATTGTTTTTATGAAAAATCAAAATTTAACTCATAACGATCCAAAAATCAGGAAGTTTATTAGAATTATTCAGTTTAAACCAGAGACCGAAACGGGGCGGATTTTTGACTCCCCGCCCCGCCCCGTCGGAAACTTTCTCTCCCCGACCTCGCGTCGCCCCGCTCGTTATTTTTTTTTCTTCCCCGCCCCCGCCCCGCCCCGCTCTATTTTTTTCTTGCTTCCTCGACCCCGCCCCGCCCCGTTCTTCATTTTATTTTGCTTCCCCATCCCCGCCCCACCCCGACTTTTCGTTTTCGCACATATGAATTTCCGGTGTAAAATCGAAAAATAAGAAAGTTTTACGGAACTCTACATCATTCTTCCAGGCCCCGCCCCGCCTCAAAATATTTCTGGTCGCCCCGTCCTCGCCCCGCCCCGACTAATTTTCGTTTGGCTTCCCCGTCCTCGCCTCGCCTCGCTTTTCTTCTCAAATTCTCTCCCTGCCCCCGCCCCGTCCAATAAAAAAGCTCCCCGCCCCGGGGCCCTGCCTCGATTCCCCGCCCCGTTTCGGTCTCTGGTTTAAACAGATAAAGCATTAGAGATAGAGATGTTCCATCTTTAATGTTTTATGATCAGATATCTTTTACGTGATCATTATGTTAAATGTATTGAAAATAATGAAATTTAATTGTTTCGTTTAAAACCAAAGAGAGAAAGCACTAGATATGCTGTTGAGTTGTTGATCTTTATTTGACTTATACTTTATTTGTATGTAATAAAGAATTAATAAAATTATGAAAAAGCTTAAATATTTAATATATATTAATCAACCAAAACATATAATATTATAATATGACTTCATATTTACTAATATATTGGTTATATCTACCTGTGTGTACATAGCCAAAGGGCTATATACACATATGTGTATATAGTCAGTCAGCTATATACACTCGTGTGTATATAGCCATTTGGCTATGTACACATATGTGTACATAGTCACTTTCTATTATTTATGCTTTAATTTGAATTTTACGGCAAACAAAGATACCATGATGCAGTAATTTCATATAGACGAGAGAAAGATTTCGATTCGATGTCCTGTTGAATCTTTGCATGATCGAACAAGCAATAAACCGTTGAAAACATTATTATTCACAGTAGGACAGCGAAAAAGTGTTGCGTCCATTGTGTTCTGTTGATCTGATTAAGCTTTGCAACACACAGTAATTCTTCAATTAAATCAAGGTTATTTAAATTCGAGATATGAAACATGACAAAATTTGAATGAAATCAGCTCGTTCTTCTTTTTCTCCTCATTCTTCATTGACAATCTAACACGTTGTATTGTACTGCGTGGTAATATTTCATGATGTGTTTAGGATGCAGAAATCATTTTTGGGTGTCCACTTCTTACAAAATCCTAATGATGCCATCACCATTGCTGAGATATTGTACGAACAAGATATTGATCTTATTATTGAAACAGGCACATATCGAGGAGGAGCTGCCTTGTTCTTTGCATCGATTATGTATCAATACCGTTATGATGCGAATAAAAAATTGATTCGTCCGTTCAAAATCATCACTATGGATATTAATCCAGAAGCTGCTCAATACATCAATAGATTTACACTTCTTGCACCTTATATCCTTTTTATACCGCAAAGTAGTGCTTCATCTGTAGCACGATCTATTGTTAACAAAACATTTTTTGAGATGAGACCAGCTAACGTATTCATTTCACTCGATGGTGATCATTATGCTGAGGCTGTCTATAACGAACTTGTATATTATGAGCAATACGTAGTCAATATTAGTAATTATATTCTAGTACAAGACACTCGCCTATCGAGAAAATGGCATTCACTTTATTGTGGCCAATCCAAATATGATGGTCCTTGCAATGGTCCTCAAGAAGCCGTCAACTGGTTTTTGAAAAATGAAGGACATGATCGTTTTAAAATTGATCTCACCAAAGAATATTTATTTAGTACACATCACAATGGATGGTTGAAACGGGTAGCATGATAGAAACAAAAGTTCGAATCGACTTAATGGCAGAGAACTGAATGGGATATAACAAGTTTAGTTGAATGTTTTTGCAAACAAATAATTTTCAAAACTTTCTTTCTGACATTTTTCAAATTAAAAATATAACCATTCTTTCGATACTGATAATAAAATTCTGCGTAGTGATAAAAGTGTATTCATTTTTTTAAGGCCTATGCCAAGATGTCAACATCTTCATAAATTTGCTCTACACTCTCTGTTAGAAGCTAAGGAAGATACCGACTGGTTCATAATAATGTTTTCATTGTTTTGTCTTTTGACAACAAATTATTACGAATTTCAATGGCGATGGTTGTGTTGCTATTCAGTTCTGGAGATAGTGCCTTCTTACGTTTAAAAATCGGTTATTAGAAGATTTGGATGCTGAAGGTGGTGGCTCAATCGAACTAGTTGGTCAGAACGAAGATGACTGTCAAGTTGAAGAAAGCAATATCAACGAAGCTATTTATGCTAAGCAGATCAATCTCAAAGAAGTTATGCTGACAATTAAAATTAGATAAAGAATGCAAACTAATCTTCATAAGTTGATATCAATCACAAAAAAATGAGGTTTCTTTGATTTTCACTGAATGACGTAAATGAATTACAAAATAATTCAAAAACACTGAATTACAAAATAATTCACTTTCTATTAGTTTCTACCAGGGTCTACCAGAGTCTACCACCCTAGGGTCTACCAGGGTCTACCAGGGTCTAGGGTCTACCAGGGTCTAGGGTCTACCAGGGTCTACCGGGGTCTACCAGGGTCTACCAGGGTCTAGGGTCTACCAGGGTCTACCAGGGTCTAGGGTCTATCAGGGTCTACTAGAGTCTCGATGTGGGTGCTGCGAAACAACATACATCACATCTCTCTCGTTGTGGGTGCCGCGAAACGACTTACATCACGTCTCTCTCGATGTGGGTACCGCGAAACCCTGATAGACCCTGGTAGACCCTAGACCCTGGCAGACCCTGGTAGACCCTGGTAGACCCTAGACCCTGGTAGACCCTGGT